ACCTGATTGGTGGCCCTTCCCCAAGGTGTTGGAAACCTTGACTGCCTCTGAAGAACTGGGGGTTGAAGAACTCATGAAATCTGCTCAGCAGAGTTGGTAGGAACCTCTCTGTGTCAGCCAGCTCCCAAACCCACCCATCTGTACTAGCATCTAATCTGTATCTCCTCTGGAATATAATGAAATATTTTATTAAGTGACTTGATGAAATTCAAATATATTTGACTTGAAATCCAAGTCTAGTGATCTTGTTGAAAAAGAAGACAAAGTTAGACTGGCCCAACTTGATCTTGGCGAACCCGTGCTGGCTCTCAGTGATCGCCCCTTCCTTTCAAAGTGCTCGCAAACTGTCTTTGTCGTAACCTGATCTAGAATGTCATGAGGAAATTGTGGTAGTCTTTCTAGACTGTGGTTGAAAGGATGGATGAATGAATATTCTCTTTTTTCAAAATCAGGAAATCGTCTTCTCCATTCGCACGGCGTCCCCTTCTATTTGCAGCGATTCCTCAAAGCTCGTTATCAATTTTTTTAACCGTTTGCGAGTTCTTTCAGTTATTCTGGGGTGTCGTTGTTGCAGTCCGGGTGACTTGCCCTCGTTCGGGAGTAGCACAGTGCTTTCTCCTCTCATTACTTCTCCTGGATTTCAGTTCCCTATTAACTACCTTGATTCTGTCTTTTTCTGCTTAGTGGAGAAACCACAGAGAAAATAGGATTCGAGGAGTTCTCTGTGTCTCTGTCATTTGTCATCAACTTCTCATCCCCACTGAGTGGGGGGAGAAAGGGAATAGGAGGCCTAGTTCTTCCTTAATCTTCTTCTTAGTCCAAAAATAGCCCTGTTTGTTGTCTCTGGCATTTATTGGTTCGTGTGCTCATGCTGGGCATTAGCCTTCCTGACACTCTTCTTAGAGGAGGACCTTGCCATTTTTAAATATGTGTCCTCGGGTGCCACCTCTCACTTCCCTCTCTTTTATAAGTCCTTTTAAAAATTCAAATGTATTTAATGAGTTCCCTCTTTAGCTACATCCTTCTCTTTAGACACTTTCCCCTCCTGTTGATTGGAATGAAGATTGGCATCAATGAGAAGTGTCTGAGCAGAATTTTATTATGGTGAATCCCCATCCCTCTTGTATTGACTTTCATAGACTGTACCAAAGGATCCCGGGAATCTCTTATGTCTGAATTTTCTAAAGTAAACGATGCTTACATTCAGTCAAGGGTCCCAAAACCTCTCTGCCCAGCATCCCTCTCCTTGGTCATCCCAAGCCCCTTCCTCTCAAGGACCCATTGCTTTTCTTTCCCTACGTGGCTCTTTCTCATTGATCATAGGAAAGACCCAGAAAAGCAATGATTCATGTCACTCTCTCCACCTTTTGAGCAAAGAAAGCATTTTCAACAAAAGCAGTCAGCAATGTCCCAGCCACCCTGTGTCCTCCACCATGGCTGTAACCCTCGGGTCAGCGACGGCACCATCCAGTGACTCCAGCTGGCCTGATGGTCTCTTCTACACCCACCCACGGTGCTATCTTGGCTCTGGGTAGGTGTTTGTTCCTTCCTCCATCTGCCCCAGCCGCTCTGCCCCACAGCTTCTCATGCTTTATCTGCCTGACAGTTCATTCATTTCCACAGCCCTGGCTTAAGCATTTAGAGTCTCTGATTGGACCAACTGAGTTTGCACTTGTCATGTTCCTCCGCAGATGGGCTTCTAAGTTGTTTTGTGACTGTGGGTTTGAATCCCTCCGCTGGACCAAATAGAGTGTTCCCCCTCCACAGTCAGTTCTCTGTAAACACTGGTGACTTCTCAGTGAGTGACTGAAAGCACATTCCATGAGGAAGTCAGCTGGAACAGAAACATTGTCCAAGAAAAGCCCAGTGCTTGTCTGGAGTGAGATGAAAGTTACAAGGCACGTGGGAAGGCAGCATGAGGACGTGTCAACTGTTGGTGGAACAGTCGGCCACCGTGTATCAATTCCTGACTCTCGGAGTCTCCTTTGACCAGACAGACACTTGTGAGGGGACTACACCCTGTAGGGAGGTTGAGACCACAGGGCCACGGGACTCCTTGATTTAGCATAGCACCAAGTGAGCACTGTCCAATCCAGCACAGAATGTCATATGTACAAGGGATCAAAAAGTCATCGCACCCAAACCCTGCTTCAGTGCATTCGTCTTTTCCTGGCAGGGCCAACAAATGGTCATCTGGCCTTTACCTGAACACTCTCAGTGGTGGGGTACTCACTACCTTACTAGGCAGCGCATTCCATTGTTTGACAACTCTAATTGCTAGGTTTTGGACCCTTGACTAAACGTAAGCATTGTTTACTTTAAAAATTCAGAGACAAGAGATTCCGGGGATCCTTCGGTAGAGTCTGTGGAAGAAAGTCATTGATGGTGATATTATGCCTATTGAGCTGAAACTGTGCTTCCTTATCATTTTTCTCCATCACACCTGGGTGTAGACCCTGAAGTCATACAAGCAATAAATCCGTCTCCCATTTGACAGCCCTTTAGATATTTAAAGACAAAAGTCATGTTCCCACCTCCTGTCACGTCACCTCTTGTGCAAGGTAAACATCCCCATTTCCTTAAAAATTAATTGACATTTGTCAAGTGCGTAAGGGTTTACAAGCTGCTTTCTTCACAATGATGTCTGGTAGAGAGCCCAGCTATAATCATTCCCATTTCATAGACAAGGAAATAGAGTCTTAGGTAGGTTAAGTGATGTGTGTACGTGTACTCTCACAGCCGGTAAGCTTCACGGTAAGGACTCAAAGCCAAGGCCCCTGACTCCTCAGTGGAGTGCTTTTTTCACTACAGCAACCAGCATGCGTTATGAGCAGAGCTCTGGCAGAGATACAAAGTGTAAGTGAGATGTGATCCCTGCCCTCGTGTAGCTTACAGCCTAGGAGAGTAATAAAACACGCGATACCTACAACGCATGATAAATGCATTTGAGAGTCACAAAGCCAAACACTCTAGGAGGTCCAAGAGAGAAGATCTTCATTGACTGAGGACATCAGGGCAGGATTCATGGAGGGTGATGGTTGAGTTAGGCATTAAGTGGTGGCTAGAAATTCAGCAGACAGAGAGAGGAAGGGAGCATGTTCCAGGCAGAGATGACAGTGAGCTGGGGCACGCAGATTGAGGAAGGGGCCAGGGGAGAGATTCCCAGAGGCTCAGAACAGCTTATACAGACCCCAAAGTGGCCTAAGAGTCTGCCTCTCAGCTCAAGTGCCCAAGGGGCCAGCGGCGACAAGGTCTGGTAGTGCTTCTGTTCTGGGAGGTGGAGGCGAGAGGAAACTTGGCCAGGACAAAAAAATTGGAACACTTGGGTGGGAAGCACTGGGCCCCAGCTGGTTCTAATAGTCCAGCGCCCATTTTCAAAGAGGCTTTTGTCATGGGGAGGGAATCAGGAGTGAGCAGAGGCCTGAAAATGGACGGGGGATCTCAGAGGAGCCTGGTCAGTCCAGGTCAATCTGTGTCATGGGAAGTGGAGGTGAAGAGAGGGCCCCAAGTGGGGTGAGCCAGAAGATGGTCATAGATCGAGGGGCTGAGGAAGCAGGTGGTTTGGTCAGGGAGCCAAGCATTACAGTGGGAATCAATGAACAGGCTCTTAGAGAAGAAAAGGTAGTGCAAAATGAAAACAGCCAGGACATCGCAGGAAAGGCCAGTGATCCATGGCGAAAGCGGGCAGGGTAAAGGGCAGTAAAAGCCAGGCGAGACACCAGCATCCTGGAGGCCGCAGGACGGAGAGGAATTCAATTTCCCCAAGGCTCGCCTGCAGCGAGTCTGCCGCTCCCAGAGTGAACTCTGTGCCAGAGCCCTTTTCGTTTGAGGCACCAATTTGTGGTGCTATCAAGTAACAAGGAAAACTGAGAAAATCAATCTCAGCAGGTGTAAGGTGAGTTTGGCGAGACAAACTGAGCAGCTGAAAGTGGAGCCAGAGGAGCAGCGTCTGTCAGGAGGAAACGATAATGGTAATAGGCTGGCGAGCAGCCTCGGAGGGGACCGCTGGAAAACGGGCTTCCGGCGGTCAGAATCCTGGGCGCCCTCGTGCTCCTCATAACTGCGGAGCTGATTTCTAATTTTGAAAGACCCCTGGTCTCCCTCCCCTGGCCAAATTAATTTATGTGACCATTTCTATAGAATTTTGGAGGTTAAAAACACTTTCCCTCCTATAACCCTGCAGGGTATTATTATCCCCATGTGACAGATGAGAGAACTGAGGCAGAGCTAGAGTGGGAATGGGTTTCTCCGTCAGTCAGTTCAGCTTCTGCTGCAGCTGGACTAGGTCATCTACTCCCCCTCCCCCGTAGAGCTTGCAGAAATGAGACACCCAAGGTCACCCAGCCCAAATGTCCGAGATGGGATTTGAACTCGGTCATCCAGATGGAAATTCCATGCCGGAAATATTCCAGTTAGTCATGTTGGTCCGTGTGACTGGTGCCTAACAGTAGCCATAGCGTCTTTGTCATGAAATGTTCAGAGTCAGTAGAGGGGACTGCATTTCCTTGTTGGCTTCTGTTTAAGCAGCCAGGCTCTGTGCGAGGGGCGGGCCTACAAAAAAAAAAAGACAAAAATGGAAGTGACTGCCCTCGGGGAGCTTCCCTTCTGTGGGACTGTTAGTTGTTGGCATGTTGTTTTAGAGTAGCCCAATCAAAAGAACTGTCCATTAGTCAGTGAGCTCCTTGAGAACAGAACCGACCATCTTTTGCTTTTCTTTGTATCTCCAGTGCTTAGCCCGGTGCCTAGCACACAGTAAGAGCTTAATAAATGCTTGTTATTGTAAACAAGCAGGAAGTGAGACTGGACATCGTGAGTTTCAAAGGCTGTTCTATTCCTATGGATGGTGAATGTCTTGATTGACGATAACTTTTTTCCCTTTAGTAAAATACCATGTTAGCAGCAGCTGTCTCCTGTAGCCATTGAGGGTGTTAGCTCCTGGGCTGAAAGGCCAAAGTCTGACCAGGGCTTAAAGCTTTTCTTCTGCTCCTTTGACTTCCTAGGGGATGCCACTGTGGGGAAGAGCGCCCTGGCTCAGATGTTCCGGAGTGATGGGGCTCATTTCCAGAAGAACTACACGTTGGTGAGTGTCCATCCAGAAAGCAGCCCATGACCCGAGTTAGAGAGTAATCATTGACTAAGCATAATGTGAAGAAAGAGGAGGAAATCCTTAGAGAAACTAGCACAAATCAGGCCTGTCAGAGAGTAAGCAGCCACCTAAGTAGCCCAACGGGGTCTGACCAGCGTCTCAGTCTGGATGTTCAGCAGTTCTCTGGCATGAAGCATCATGAAATGAGGTCCATGCAGTTTGCATTTACTATGTGCCCACTGTATGCCCAATCTTGTCGATACAGAGCCTAAAAACCTCCTAGCCCCTGCCTTCAAGGAGCTGACAGTCTCTTAGGGAGGTAAGAAATGTCCGCAAATAACTAATAAAAATTCAAAAATTAAGTACTGAGAAGGGGCAAACAGTTGCCAGTCAGTTGTAGGAATGATGTAAGAATAGACATGAAATTGGGAGAGGCTAGGGCCTACCTGGTGAATGTGCAATGGGCCAGTCTGCCTGGAGCCCAGAAAAGAATGCATGGGGGCAGAGACTGAAACTGGGAGCAAAGGGAGTTTGGAATCCGACTGTGGATCATCCAGACATGTGGTTCCTGCTATGGGCCGGGGGGAGCCACCAGGGGCTTATGAGCAGGGCAGGGACACAGCCACAAACAGAATGTTATGAGCAGCAGTATGGCCCCAGTGTGAAGCACAGACACGGAAACAGCGGGATTTGGTGACTGATCACCTGTGGGAGAGAGGAAAGAATTATGAATGACTCCAAAATTTCTAGCCTGGGTGACTAGTGAGGGTAGTGATACCACCAACAGAACAGCAAAGCTGGGGAGGGGAGAGCGTGGAGTAGTGAAGAAGAAGAGAGAGGGAGAGAGAAGGGAGGTAGAGAAGGGAGAGAGAGAAGAGAGAGGGAGGGAGGGGAGAGAAGGAGAGGGAAGGGAGAGAGAAGAGAGGAGAGGGGGGAGAAGAAAGAGAAGGGGGGGAAGAGAGAGGAGAGGGGGGGAGGAGAGGGAAGGGAGAGACAGAGACAGAACATCGCAGGAGACTGAGCAGGTGGGATCTAGGGCACCTGTGGAGGGATGGACATGGGCACTGAGGAGGGCCACCTCATCCTCTGGGATGGGAGGGAAGGAGGGAGGTGGGGAAAAGGGGAGATACAGGAGCTTTGCACAGGTGATCTTGACCCCAGGAAATGAGAACCAAGGTCTTGTGTTGGGAGAGGCTCGGGGCAGGAGTGATGCCAGCAGGTTTTCTCCTCTGGGCCCTCGGCTTCCTGTTCTGAAAGGATACATGTAGCAACAGCAACTGGATGAATAAGATCTCTCGGTCTTCACCCCTCATGGTCGCCCCGGGAGGGAGGTGTGATTACCCCCATTTTACAGATAAGGAAGCTGATGGGGGGTAAGGGACTCACCCAGGGGCGCACAACAGGTGAGTGTTTGAGGCCAGACTTGAATCAGGTCTTCCTGACCCCAGGCCCCGGGCTCTACCCGCTGCATGGCCCGGCTGCTTTCATCTGAGGCACGTGTGAGATTCCCAGCCATCTCCTAGGCATAGCTCCTTGTCCCCCATCTAAGAATAATGATGATGGTGATAAATAGTTTTCAAAAGAACAACCCTGTGGGGTGGGGATGGGGAGCAGCTCTGACCCTGACCCCATTTTACAGATGAGGAAGTGGATGCCCAGAGAGGTCGCCTCTCAGAAGGGCCCTTGTAGGTGGCAAAGATCCCATGTCTCCGAGCCTTGCCACCGCCTTCGTGTTAGTTGTGCTCCTTCCAAACTAAAGAACATGGAGAGAGGCCTAAGAGGCTAAAAGGAGGTAGGTGGGTCCCCAGGAGAGGCCGAGGGCCCATGGTCAGTGGACCCAGTATTCTTTGTTCCACGGAGCGGGCTGCTGTCAGTGCCGAGGATCATGGTGGTGAGAGTCTCCTTGAAGGTGAGAAGGCCTCCCTCCTCCCACAGTGTAAACTTGGGGAACACCTTTCTCCATCCCCTTCTGCATGGAGTCTTTGAGAGGAAGAGCATCCCCATTCACTCATTGGTTCATAGGTTCTCCTCACCCCCCTCAGAAATCAAGGATTGACAAGGGGCAGAGTGGACCCCCCAGCCCCTGCTGCATCCTCACCCCACATGCCTCTGAAGCCTTCCTCTGCTAATTTTTGGCTTTCATTGGCAGACAACAGGGGTGGATCTGCTGGTGAAGCACTTGGCGGTTCCCGACACAAACGACAGTGTGGTAAGTCTTGCCGGCGCCATGACGCACCGAGGGCCACTCAGACCTTGTCTTGTCAGGTCTGTGAATCTCAGTTGGTGACCGGCTTCCTAGTTCTTGGCCTGGATATTGGCCAGCATTTGGAAGCCAGATCATGAATCTGGTTTCAGGAAATCATCTCAAAGCTAGAGGTCCAGCATGCAGCCTGCCTGACCTCCAGCCACCACCTGTCTGAGATTTGTATTAAGACAAAATTTACCCAATTAGCAAACATCCATGCACTGGTAGGGCAGGAGAGTCTGACCCTGGCCGCCTATTGTTGCGTAATTCACTGACACCAGGTGTAATGCTAGCAGGCTTGGGTTAATTAGTCATTGTAATTGTAAAAAATTCACGCAGCCTACACACATCCAGATTTCTGATCAGGTGCCTTGGTGTTGAAAGAGCTGGCCGGCCTCTGGGTCTGAGCCTCGGCTGCCCCAGCAACTGACGGACCCGCAGGCGTCTCAGCAAATCATTCCTTTGAGACATCGTGAGATGGGGATTTCCTTTGGAACAAGGGGCAAAGTGACCTTGGCCAGCCTGGTTAACAGTATATGTGCATGTTTATGTACAGGGCCTTACTTAACCCGAGACTTGAAAGGGCTTTGATTTCCTCTATGTGAATCCTCCCTCCTCTCTGCCTTCTGGGGCCGTCTTTGGGAGCCACAGTGGCCTAGCCTCTGGACCTCACTGGGCTGTGCCTCAGATGAGGGGCCCATGGTCCCCAAGGCCTCATCACTTTGGTCAGACCCCCCCCCCGAACCCAGAGTCACCTGCCTGCCATGATGAGGCAGCCTGAACTGGGGGCTGAAGAGGCGTTAGTGACCTTTTGTCCAGCCTCCTGAGACCCGAGAGGCAGCTTGGCATGAGCTATACTCGATTTGGAGACAAGAGGCCAAGCCTTGAATTCTGCTTCCGCTGCTCACTGCCTAAGAGACCACCTTGGGACAGTCACATCGCTTCTCTCAGCCTGTTTCCTCATCCGTGAAATGAGGGGGTTGGGCTAGATCCCCTACGTAGGGTCGCAGCCCACAGTTTAAGAAGTGCTGAGGGGGTCAAGAGTGGAAAATGTTTGAGAAGCCCTGGGCTAGATCAGAGGGTCTTCATCTTTTTGTGTCCTAGGCCTCCTCCAGCAGTCAGTCTGGTGAAGCCCATGGCTCTTCTCACAATCACATTTTTAATAAAAAACACAGTTATAAAGGAAACCAATCCTGCTGAACTACAGTTATTCCAGCATCTGCCAAGCTAAGAACTGGGGCACTCCATGGTGTCCGCCTCCTCTGCCAGGGCTGCACAGGGAGGAGGCGTTAGCCTTTCCCAATGCCACCCATGGCTATGTAGGCGGGATGCGTTTTGCTCCCAGGTTGGTGAGTTAAGTGAGTGACCCATACTTTCACCCATGCTGGAGGAGGGGCTAGAACCAGGGTTTCTGCCTCTACAGGGGATTGGTGCCTTTCCTCTGACAAGAGGTGAAAAAAGCCATTTGGCTAAGGGGCCTTTTAGTAAGGGCAGCTCAAGGCCTGCCCTCTGCCTGGCTCCCTGTGCCAGGAGGGTCTGGCTCTGGTCAGTGAGCTGCGTGTGCCCCTCCTTGTTCCTCTCTCTGACCTCATGCCCCCCAAACCCAGGGCGGCCTTGGCACCAGGTACTCCCCTGCCTTGTGATGGAGCTGAGACACACCTTCGTTTGTTTCTAGGAACTCTTCATCTTTGATTCTGCTGGCAAAGAGCTGTTTTCAGAAGTGTTGGAGAAGCTGGTAAGTGGCCCAGAGCCCCGTTTCCATTCCTAAGACTCGCCCCACACAGCACCCACTCGCTGTGTGTCCAGGGCTAGAAAAGGCCACGTATATGGCAGCGCCCTTGGGGCCCAGTTGAGGGAGGGATCAGACGTGTCCAGGAGGCCTGGCCTCAACTCCTCCATCCCTGCATGCCTTGGGGTAGCTGCTCCACCTCCCTCTGCACCTTCCTCCAGTAATAAAAAATCAACATTGATTAAGTACACACTTACTCTGTGCCAGGCACTGGGCTAAGTGCAGGGGATATAGAAGGAGGCAAGAGACAGTCCCTGCTCTTGAGAAACTCACAGCAAGCAGACAGACACATCCAGACAAGCTCTTTACAGGATAAATGGGAAATCATGAGCAGAGGGAAGCCGTTAAGAGGGGCTGGGAGAGGCCGAGATGTTCAGGGACCGTGTCGCCGCCATCCCTGAGGTGCTCTGCCTTTCAGAGGCGCGTCCCACGCAGGAACACCTTCCCCGGGCCTCTCCTTTGGAGCACAGGTTTGCGTGCTCCCCGTGTTCCCCTTGGCTCCTTCAGTCCTCTCTGTCTCCGCATCCCTAGCGCTCAGGACAGACAGAGCCCCTTGCAGATGTGGGGCTGAGCCAAAGCTAGTCTGGCTTAGGAGTGCCCTGGCCTGGCCCTCCAGGGCCTGCTTCAGGCTGGACACACTTTCCTGTTCCCCAGAAATGGCTGCTGTGGCGCTGGCTGGGGTTGCCCAGAGCCAGTGTGTCTTGTGTTCCGGGTTGTAAGGGCCAGCCTGGGCCACCCTGGGGTGGGGCAGCCAGCTGCCTTTGTTCCAGGAGCTCATCTAGATGCTCCGGGTCCCTAACAGTGAAAGCCCACGTTGATGCTGTGCTTTAGGGGCAAGAGGAGAACCTGGGGTTGGGCTGATGTAGGTCAGCACCCTGGCCAGCTCCCTGGCCGGCACTGTGGCAGGGAGGCTCACAGAGCCAGGATGGGTCAGGTGAGACCTGTGCCTCGCCCCCCCCCCCATCTAATACAGCATGCTGCCTGTAGTATAGGTATCAGTCTGTGCGGTGTCTTAGGGCTCCCCAGCCACTGTCATAGCCATTGTGTCCTTCTGTGTGGGTCAGGGCCTTGTTCTAGGTTACACAGCTTAGAAGTGGGAGGGTTCCAGCTCGGTCCCTCAGAGCCGCCTCTCAGGATGTACAAAGCAGCATTCACAGCAAGAGAATGTTCCCTAAGCGAGGCCTGGCTCACTGGTCCCTCGTCCCAGTTTCCCGAGGCTTCTCTGCAGGTCCTGTGCAGGGCCGATGCAGCCTCAGTCCCTGCAGCAGGGCTCTGCCCTGCGACATTCTGACAGACCTCACTCTTTAGACTGGAGGTCAGTGGCCTAATTATGGGGTCCTACTGCATTTAATTGTGGAATCCTTTGCTGCTTTCTTTTGCCCTTGCTGCTCATACAGCTCCTTCCTCTCTAAGGTTTTTAGTGTGGCTGGATGCCGAGAAGTCAGCTTCACTGCTGCTGACCTTGTGTTTGTCCAGGAAAGAAGATGAATGACCTTCTGCTTTGCTGCTGCACCCAGAGGCCCTAGGCCTTTCCCTCTGACCTGTGGGTGAAACCCCATTAGAATGTAAGCTCTTTGAGGGCAGAGACCATCTTCTCCATTTGTAGCAGCAGACCTCAGATGGCCAACACACAAATGCTTTTTCATTCACCCCTTCTTCCTTCCTTCCCAGTGGGAACATCCCAACCTCTTATGTCTCGTGTTTGATGTAACCAATGAGCAGTCCTTCAGTAACTGTGCCAAGTGGCTGGAGAGGGTGCGGGCCCAGCTTCAAGGCTCTTCTCTTCCAGGTAGGGAGGGAATGGCAGACACCCTTGTCCTACCCTGCATCCCACCTTTTGGGTTGGAGTCATGAGAAGCAGAGGAATTTGGAACATGGCTGCCAGAAAAGGAACAGGATCTTGGGGTGTATTCGTGGAGAATGGAATAGGCCTGGTGAGACCACATCTAGTCAGTGAGCATCCACTGCAGGCCAGCCACTGGCCACGGTGCCAGAGACGCGGAAACAAAGAATGAGGCCCTCCCCACTCATGTGGTGCGCATGTTCTCCCAGAGAGGTAGCGGGTCCTGTGCTAAATGCCAGGGGCATTTTGGGAGGGTCCCCAGCAGCTGCAGGCATTAAGTTAGGCCTCTGGTCGGGCTTTGCTTATGGGCTTGTGGTCCAAAAGAGCCTAGAGACAAACACCAAATACTGAGTAAACAGGATAAAAGCAAAATTTGCTTGTCTTCAGCCCTTTGGGGCCAGGGGGACAATCTATTGGGTTTTGCATTTTTGCATTCCCTTTCTTTTATAAAGGCAGCTGTGCTCAGAATGGTAATAGTAATAACCCACACTTCTCTATTACTTTCTTCACAATGAGTAGTACAGGCATTACGATCCCCATTTTAGAGATGAAAACACTGAGGCTTGGTGCAGGGAGGGGACTTATTCAAGGTCATCCAGCTCCTAAGTGGCCGTGCTGGGCGTCCCTGAGCTCTGACCCACTGCCCAGCTGACCTCCCAGTCCTGCTCTCCCTGTAGTTGTCTCATGCTAGACTTTTCTCAGCCTGAGCAGTTTGCCTCTCTGTCTCTCACACCGTGCTGCCCAGCCACCATCGCTGAATTGTTTTTGTTTCTCTCCTGAACAGGCGTTTTAGTGGGGAATAAGACTGACCTGACTGGCAGGCGCGTGGTGGAGGCGAGTCGCGCCCAAGAATGGGCTGGGAGCCATGGCCTGGAGTATTTCGAAACGTCCGCCGTAAGTATCTTCTGAAGCTGATCTGCAGCAGGCATTTATTGGGGAGCCCCAGGCCTCAGTGGGCTTCTCCTGGAGCCAGCCCCCTCCGGGGAAGCTGCCTCGTAGAGGGCACCTCCAGGGCCAGAGGCTCCCAGGCTCTGGAGGCCTCTGTTCCAATTGAAGACATGCTCTTCTCAGCCAAAGCCAACATCTGCCTCCCTCCTCCTCCTTCTCCTACGGCTTCTGGGCCTGCCTCTGAAATGCCCCAGCGCAGACACAGGGACAGAAGCAAGAGCTGCTCCTATTTAACACTGTTCGTTGACAGCTCTCATTCAGGCAGCCTTTGGTGGGCAGTAGTTTGCTGCACCCCTCGTCCCCTCTCATCAGCATCGTTACCCTTGCTCCCATGTAGTAAGAAGGTCACAGGGGTCACGAGCCCCCATCGGTGCCCTCTCACTGCAGGGCATCGTGGTGTGATGCTCCCTGGGGCCAGTATTGGGCCGGCACCTTTATAAGTTTCATGGAAATGGGGCTCATCTGATCCAGCAACCACATTTGACAGACGAGGAGATAGACTCGGGAGCTGAAATATTTCATCCGGTCAGGATGGAAAAGCCCAGCAGAATGCATAGAAAGTATGAACGGTGATTAAAGGGGGAAAAGTGATCCAATCCCCATGTCCTCAAGAACATCGAGTAAGTCTGGGGAGCACAGTGTTGTCCAGTAGAGGTCCTGAGGGGACTGTCTGTAATGAACAGGTCAGAATCCCCCTGCCCACAGCCAGCACAGGCGCTGAGGATTAGCTGAGGCACAACAGGTGGTCCGGGCCAGGCAGGGCCTGCATCAGGAGACCATCTGACTCTGAATACAGAGAACCTTCAAATGCTACCTCCCCAGCCAGTGACTCTCCGGGTCCCTGACCATGCCTCGTGGTGGAGTGGAAAGAGTATCAGGCTGGCTTCTAGGAGACATGGCTTTAAATCCTGCTCCTGACTTAGTCCCTGTGTTAACAGGGCATTCACCACTCCTTTGGAAGATGGGACCAATATGCTCGCCATGGCTCCCTCCTGGGAGTGTGTTCCAGCCCCTTAGGAATCTTGTTTATACTATACAGTTTCCTTAGGAAATCATTCCTTCCCCAAGGCTGGCCCAGGGACAAGCCCATGACCCATTCATATCACACATCGCACGTTCCTGGAGTCTGAGTGAGAAGTTGTGTGGCCCCATGGCCAGGGCCCTGGATTTTGAGTGCACAAGGCCTGGGTTCAGATCTAGCCTCGGACATTTTCTCAATGTGTGATGCGGCATCTCGATTTCCTCATCTGTAAAATGACGGGATTAAGCTCAGTGGCCTCTCAGGTCACTTTCAGCCTTAGACCTAGGCTCATTTGAATGAACGAAGGTGTGCTCACCTTCATTCTGGCCTGCTTTAGTTGTAGAAGGACATTAGACTTTCCTGCACCAGGATCCCAGAGCCCTGGAGCTCCTGAGTGACCTGAGCAATTAAAAAGAGCTCCTAACGCAGTGGTCGGGGCAGGCCCCTGGACCAAGTGTCTTCACACTCTTCAGGTATTGCTCCTTTTATTAAAATTGGTGCTAATAAAGGATAGTTGTGGCGAGGTGGGGCATCACTTTCCCTGAAGTGTACGACATAACTGGTCCACCTGCATTGGGGAGGTCAGAAGAGGCCCCTAGACCAGGGCTTCTTACACGGTTCCACTCAGCAACTGTTGGCATTTTGTGGCCTGCGGGCATGCACAGGCAAAGTGCGCCTGCTGTGTGTTCAGAACCAAGGCTACAGAGAAGTTGTGCGATGCAGCCAGGACAGCGCTGCCAGAAACACCTCAGATTCATCACGCGTTTGATTTTTAGTTAATTTTTGGTCATTGTGCGCTCAGAAACCTTTTATTGTAGCCAAATTTTTCACGACCCCATACGAGGTCACAGCCCACAGTTTAAGAAGCGCTGCCCTAGAGCTTGTCGGGGAAGCCCGGCCCACAAGAGACGGGACCTGGAGCATGGGAGACTTAGCTGACTCTGGAAGCCACGTCCATCCCCTGTCAGGCAAGCTGCCCTTATCTCGTCTCTAGGCAAAATACTAGCCCTAGACTACTTGTACCTTGTCCTAGAGGAGAACCAGTTAACCAGTGGGGGTTAACAGGGGAATGGGCTGCCCGGTCCCTGGAGTATGTGAGATCATTGCAGTAGACCTGGGAGAGATGGGGACGCTGAGGCCTAGAGAGTAAGTAACAGCACCAGGATTTGAACTCAAGTCCTGAGATTTCGGGCCCTGGCTGACATGGAAGGGTTTCTTGTAAGAACACTTTTGGCTCTGGGCTTCCTTGATGCTCCAGGGCATGTACTTATGGTTTTAGCCATGGGTTTTAGGCCAAATCAAGGAAGGAACCATTTATGTGCAGAAAGGGCAGCAAGTGGAGGGGTTTCATCCCCCAAAGAGCTTGTAAACCTCAACGTGCAAATAGGTTCAAGAAGGAATTTGATAAGTTTATGGACAAAGAATTCAAATCCTTCTTGCAGAAGGGAAGTCAGAAGTGTTTGAGGGAATTCGCCTCTAAGTAAGGAAGGTGTTTTGGAGGTCAAAGGTCATCTCCGAGCTACAGGATGCAGTGTCCTGCTCCCCTGCCCTCGGACCACCCCAAGCTCCCAGGATGGGAGAGCCAGAAGGCGCCCCAGCTGCAGCCTCCTCTCATCCAGCCTCAGCCTCACGCACATGCCCATTCTGCCCCATGGGCACTGCCTGGTGGCAGAGACGCTGCTTCAGTGTCTCCAGGGATGGAGGGGATGTTCCCCAGTGCATGAAGCCCCAGCATAACAGAGTTACTCACCTTCCAGAGGGTTCTTTGCTTTACTGGACAATTCACCCTAGAAACCTTCTGAACAGAAATCCTCCTCCTCCCTCCAACATGGAAAATATGATTCAGTTTACACATGTTTCACGAACATTCTGTTCATGGGCTGCATCGCTCGTGTTCACATCCATTCCCTGAACAAGCATCTGTAAAGAGGCTTCTGTGCCAGAGAGAGGCCATCTGTTTGGAAAGTACTCGCCTCCGAAGGTTGTATTAGGTTTCAGATTCTTGGAGAAGGAAAGGAGAAGAGAGGGGAGGAAGGGAAGAGAGGAGAGGGGAGGGGAGGAGGAGGAGAGAAGAGGGGTGGGAGGAAAGGGGAGGAAGAGGAGAAGAAGGGGGAGGAGAGAGGAAGACAGGGGAGGGGAGGAGGAGAGGAGAGGAAAGGGGAGAGGAGGAGAGGGGAGGAGAAAGAAAGGAAGGAAAAGTGGGAGGGAAGGAGGAGGGAAGAAAGGAAGAGGGAGGGAGGGAGGATTCACTAAGCATTTACAATGGGCCAGGCAGTGTGCGGAGGGCTGAGAATACAAGTAGAAAAGTGAAAGTCTCTGTCCTTGAGGAGCTTACGCTCTGAAGAGGTGGGAAAACAGGGGCGTAGGGAGAGGGGAGTGTTTGCCTGGTAGTTGATTGCCACCTGACCTTCCCTGTCCAGAAGCACTGGTGGGGTTGCTGTGGTTGCTGTACCCAGGTCAGGAGGGGAGAAGTGCAGGGTGGGGGTGGGGCACCCAGGCAGTTGACATTCTTCTTGTGGTCTCTTACCCATCCAGATAGCTCAGTATCAGGGTGGGGGACGCAGAGCCAGTTGAATCAGCCAGCCCAGGATCCAGGGCTGTGCTTTCTGGAGGTGCAGCCAGAGAGAAGCCAGGCAGCAAGAGGACAAGGGGCAATGGGCGGGCTGGGAGGCTGACCCACCAGAGGACTGCCGGCCGGGTTCACCCCACACTTGTAGCCGGCCCATGATTTACTGAGTAATCACTTGTCCCTCCGCCATGACTTTGTCATTTTCCATCTGTCCAGTGGTGGACAAACCTCCGTGACGTTGGCAATAACGCAAGTGGGCAGAGCAATCTGTCCTCCATGGGTTCCTTGAACGACTGCATTAGCACAACTGTGCCTTCAGCTCATCGGGGATTTATTGTCTTTGTCCCACAAGCTTCCTCGCTAGCAGGCCCGTACCAGGCCTTCCATAAGCCTCGTCTGCCTGGCTTCTCTCTTCCTGAATTAGTAGGAAGGACATGGGGGCAAGACATCTGGGTTCTAGACCAGAGCTGGAGCTCAGCCACTTATTTGTGTGACCTTGGACAAGTCACTCAACTTGAATTTACTTGTTTATCTCACTTCCCATCTGTAAAGTGCGAGAGTTGCCGTTCGCAGTGGTTTCTAAGACCTCTTCCCGGTCAGAGGCCCAGAGCGCTGGGCCTAGAGTCAGGAAGACCTGAGCCTGGGACACAGCAGGTGCTATATAAATGCTTACTTTCTTCCCCTCCCGACTCTAGGCATTCTGGGCTCTAAGTCACTTGCCAATTTGAGGCTTTGAGTTTGGAAGGTCTTTTTTTTTTTTTGATCTCCGAGTAAAGAGCACTGAACTTGGAGTCATTGGTTTGTAGGATTTAGAGCAGACCCAACCCTACCAGGGCTTTCCTTGCAGCTCTGGCATTCTGAGATCTGCACACGTGCAGAGTTGCCCATCCCTTCCCCGAAGGCTGGAGCCGCTGTGTACGTGGCGATCCTTCCCCTGTCTGACCGGCCTCTTCCACTTCTTTCTGCAGAAGGAGATGGAGAACTTTGAAGCCCCTTTCCGCTGTTTGGCCAAACTGTTCCACCAGCTGTACCGCGAGAGGCTGGAGCTCTTTCACTCGCTGGTGTGAGAAAACCTCGAGTCACGCCGGGTGTGCAGTGGGCTGAGCATCAGACGTAATGTTAGGAAAATAAATGTGGAGGCGGGGCTTGCTTACAGCCAAGGCTCCTGAAACCCCAGTGTCTACCAGTCGGTAATGATATGTTAGCTCAATTCTGGAAGGCCGCACTGCTTCTTCCTCACAACACTCGGTGAGCTGGTTCTCAGATGAGCCTCAGTTGCCCCGCCTTGCCTTGCTTTGCCGGTCCTCTGCCTTGCTCTGCCCTAGGCCTTGCTTTCTCCCAGCTTATCGGTTCCCTGGGGGAGAATCACACCAACCCAGAGCTAGAAGGGACCCACTGCCAAGCCTTCATTTTCCAAATGAAGAGCCTGATGCTTAGAAAGTGGGTGACTTGCCCAAGGTCGCCCAGGCAGCCAGGGGCAGAGCAGGACTCGGACCGTAGCCCCTTGATGACAGGACTCTCCCTAGAACCCCAGTGCCCCGGCCTCGCCGTCTCCAAAGGCTGCATGTCCACACACGTTTGTCTGTGGCCTGCTCTGCAAGTCACTGCCCAGAGAGCCAGGGAGGCACAGGCCTATCGTATGGGTCCTGTCCTGTGCCCTGAAAGAGCCTAGAACCTGGTAGCTGAGACCTAGAGACAGACGGAGATAAGGCCACAGACCTACCGTGAGTGCCTAAGAGAAGTCTGAGCAAGGGCCCACGGACGAGAAGGGGGAGGGGGTTAGGAGAATTAAAGGCGGCCTCCCAGAGGGGCTGTCCTTATGTATGGGCACGATCCCCCTGGAGTGATCCGAGGCTGGCCAGGCCTGGGGGCAGGAGGCCGGCACTTTGTCTCCAAGGTGTCCCCTTCTCACTTTGGTTGGCTTGGCAGGTGAGGGGCTGTCCTGGGGAAGCCAACCTCTCCTTGGGCCTGCTGCACTAGGGGTGCTCTGCACCTGCCGAGGCAGGCCCCCTCTCCCTGGTCATCAGGCTGCTGGCAGGGGCTGCTGTCCCTGGCGTCACAGCACCCTCTGTCGGCTCAGTTTGATGTATTTCTTAATGAAGGCCCTGGCTGTGTGTGTGTGAGCCTGCACGCCAAGAACCGTATTTCCCTTAATGTATTTCTTCTCCCAAGTGGAGCGAGGGTAGTCACAACTCTGCTTTTACATGAATTCTCTTCATCCCACAGGCTAGTGCCAGATTAATCTTCCTAAAACCCCGCTTTAATCATGTCCCTCCTCCACTCAGTGGCATAGTGTGGTGGAGTGGATTGGGGGGATCTGGAGTCAGAGGACCTGGGCTTGAACCCCAGCCCTGGCCCGACCTGGGTGACCTTGGGAGAGTTGCTCCTCCTCTGTAAAAGAAGGCGGTTGCACATGGCGGCCTCTGGGGTCTCTTCCAGCTACAGATTCAGGGTCCTACGGAAAGGAGCCTGCCAGTCAAAAGATCACTGGCTTTGGAGTCAGAAGAGCTGGTTTTGAAGCCCAGCTGATGCTGAGTGGGGGCTCGCACAAGGCCCCGCATAGGATGCAGGGTCTGGATTGGCAGCCTGCCCTTTTCTATCTGAAGAGCCCACTCTTTCTGGGCAGTAATCCCAGGGTCCCAAACCTGAGCTGGAAGGACCCTAGAGGAGACCTAGCCCTACCCCCCATCTTGCAGGAGAGCTGAAGTTGCCTTCCCAAAGTGGGATTTGAACCCAGGTCCTCTTGGGTCCCAAGTGGACCACACTTCCTCCTGTGATGCTCTTTCTATCTAGGCTGTGTTCTTCTGCTCCCCACATCGCCATCTTCGTCCTCCTAAGTAGATTTGATGACAGGTACCGTGTCTCCCACTTCTTTTGCCCTTCTCCTGCCTCCTGGCCCTTCCAGGAGCATGAGACATGTATAATCCCACACCTGACCCTGTTTCTGGTGGAGTGAAAAGTTTTGGGCTGGGTGCCAGAAGACCTGGGTTTGAATCCTGGCTCTTCCTCTAATTCAGTGTGCAGCCTTAGACAAGTCACTCAGTTTCTCTGGGCTTTACTTTGCTCATCTCTCCTGTCATTTTGTCTGCCTCTGAAGTCCCTTGAAACCCTTGGATTCTATGGCTGCAGATCTCTGGGCCTCAGTTTACCCATCTGTGAAATGAGGGCATCACACTAGATCATGAATAAGGCCCTTTCCCACACTAGCATCCTGGGGAGGGGGGCAGCCACGGACTGTGTGTGAACTTAGTGTCAGACCCGAGTTTGAGGCCCAGCTCCGATGCTAGCCACGGGATCATGAGGAGTACTCTTGATTTCCCAGTCCCTCAGTTTTGTCATCTGTAAGATAAGGATAACTACATTCGGATTAATCATGGGTTGTAATCACCGTCAGTCAAGCATCAAGCTTTTACTGAGTGCCTGCGCTAGACTGATCAGGAGAAATCGCTTCCTGTCTGTGTGGCCCTAGACCCTGGGATCAGAGCAGACCACAAGATTCAGAGCTAGAAAGGCCTTGAGAGTCCAATCAACCCTTCAATTTAGTGGGTGACAAAATGGGGTCACTCAGGTAGCATGCAACAGAGCTGAGATTCAAACCCAGGTCTTGTGACTCCAAATTTAGTGCCCTTTCCCCTATCCCATGTACTGTACCTCCATTTCCTCATGTGTCACCAAGAGCAGGTCTTTTCTCCTCTCTGGGTCTCAGTTTTCTCATCTGTAAAATAGGAACAGTAATAGCTCCTGCCTCCAAGTAGCCAAGAGGCCCAGATGAGCCAAGGGTTCTGTGAACTTGAAGCACTTTGCAGGGTATCCTAAAAATCTGTCTTGCAGATTTAAGCTTTCAGCCTGTGCTTTTGCTTAAAACTGCACAGAGAGCTTTGGAATCCCCTGTATGAATGTGTGCTATCCTTATCACGGCCATTATTATTATCACCAGAGTTTAATTTCCTGTCAGTCGTCTTTACTTAGCTTCTCCATTAAGGGTGAGGCGACAGACAAGGTTTAGAGCAGCCACATCTTGGGAGTGGGTCTATAAAGAGTCAGATCCCTACCCCAGCCAAAAAGAGAAGTCTCAGCGTGGCCAACCCCTCCCTGGCGAGCCCCAATGACCAGAGAAGGTACGTGAGAAGGCCCTCCCCATGCAGGAGGCTGCGCCGGGCAAGAGGAGCCCCATTCCTTTGGCCGCTAGCATCACCCTGTACTTTTCCATGGCTCCTAATGCACCCAGTGAGTGGGAGCTATGGGGGCATGCAGCAACCTGCCCCACCTGCTAGGAATAAAAGACATTTATTTTGAGTGTTGAAATGGTGTGGGTTTGGAAGGTTTTGTTTTTGGCAAATGGGAACTTGGAGACAGAGAGCCCACTTGCACGGACTGTGGGTTTTTAACTCCGCTGGCTGGCTCTTAAGGGCCAATTGCGGCTGAGATGGGTATTGAGTAAATGGCCAGCCCAGGCCTATTAGGAGACCTTCTGCTGCTGGCAGAGACCACTGTTTGGAGTCAGCCACTCACATATAAAAAAGCCCTTCCTCCTTTAATGGGGGTTCCCTCTCTGTCCCCATCCATCCACAGCTTTGCCAGGGAGACTGGAAAACATTTTTTCCCCTCTCTCAGCATTACTTAGCACCTTTCTTCTGCAGAGCATCAGTTGCTTTCCAAATGAATTATCCTCAATTTGCCTTTGAGACAGAGGAACCCAGAGAGAGAGAGAGAGTGGCATCTTCGGGGTCCACAGGTCCTCACTGGAACCAGGATCTGAACCCAGGTTTGCCAATGCTCCAGAAAGTGGATGCTGCTTGTTTGTGCCGGGCAAACTGGTAACACCGGGGATGCCTACATTTCCTAAACATGGGGGTTGGGAGGAGGATGCTTCCCTCTTAAAAAGCAATGAAATTGGACCACTGCGAGGAAAAGATCAATGGGTCCTTTCCCAGTTTCACCTCTAATATGGAAATGAAGCCATCATCATAGTTTCCATGGAGATGGTGCTTCCCAGTTAATGGGTGCAATGGAAAGAACCTTGGCCTGAAGTCAAACCTGGGTTCAAATACTGCCTCAGACATTACCTGGACAAGTCACTTCAGCTCTGTTTGCTTCAGTTTCCTCATCTGTAAAATGAGGGGATTGAATTCAATCATCTTTAAGGTCCCTTCCATCTCTTAAGTGAGTGATTGTGTCCCTCATGCCTGGAATGTTCTGCATCTTTATCACAACTCTTAAAATCCCTCATCTTTTTCAAGGCTCAATTCAAATCCTGCCCTTTGTGGGTTGCCTTTCTCAGTGTCCCCTGCTGCTAGGCCCTTTCCCCTCCTAGATTCACTCGAATCTCCTCTGTCTTGGTGGTTATGTCTCCCATTGGAGGGTCAGCTCTTAGGGCAGGGACCATTCTTGCAAGTATTAAAGGGCACTGTCCCACCTTCAGAATGCCTGGGGTTAAGCTGTGGCTCTGACCCTTAACCATCGGTGGAAACGCAGACCCTTACCAGAATTGAGAACTGAGGCAGAAAGAATTGACTTGTCCTGTCCTGGATCAGGCAACTGCTGAGTGGTAGAGCCAGTGTTAGAACCCAGAGCTTCAGACTCTAAATCCAGCCCCCAAGCGTGGGGAATTGTCAACAGAGGCCTCAGGAAGGTGGCACCAAAAGGAATGTGATTAAGCCACGGTGAGAAGGGGGTGGGGTGGGAGAGAGCTAATAGGAGCTGGCAGGCACCATCTTTTATGGTTGCAAAGCACTTTGCATAGGTAGCAGCCACCCTGACCTTTGGGATAGTGATGGGAGGAAGGTAACATCAAAATAATCCATCCCTTCCTTCCTTTATTTATTTATTCATTACTTGTTTGTTTATTTGGGTCTGGACCTATAATTTGGATGGTGTAGGGAATTCTCCAGGTTTGGAAAATTCCTTCAACACCACAGATTGACAACTTGTCTATAACGTATAGTCAGTCGGCAAGCAGTAAGCACAACTGTTTGCCAGACATGCTCACTGCTGGGGATACAAGGACAAAAACAACGAGGCTGACTTGCCCTCAAGGAGCTTACATTCTATCAGGAGAGGCAAAAAAAAATTGTCACAAAACAAGCACAAGGTGGTAACTTGGGGGAAAGGCAGTGGCTGAAGGGAGTCCTCATAGATTTAGAGATAGAAGGAACCCTAGAGGCCACCCCTTTCCAGCCCC